GGACAACATATTGTGGGAGTATACTCCTCCTACGGAGAGCTCTCACAAAACTTGCTTCGTTGCTCTGATTAGTTCCAAAGGGTGGCAGTGCTTTTCTTTGTAAAATTAGGCTGAAACAGATTATAGCTGTAATAGGGCCACCGAAATTGACATTGCGGCATAACGTTCCTCATGAGGGTTCTGGCATCTATTCTATGATCTCTTATGCAATTATGAATGTCGCAGCCACAAGTGGTCACTTGACAATAATCTGCAACTCGTCATATGACAAACTGCGTAAATGGTTGGATAAGTGTAGTAATGGTAGTTCTGCATATCTGGGAAAAAACAGTGGCTGGGAGGGCTCTAGCTCTTCCTCATCACGATCCGTCTTAGGGATCAGCACGACAACCACAGCTGGTTGTCGTGCCAGTAGACCTCATTCTAAAGTCACCGGAAGAAAACAACAATAACCGGTTGCTGCCATCATGTTGTGTTAGCCAGTGGTCAAGAACAAGATTTTTTCTCTTGAGCTTGGACAAAGTGTTCTTCAATTAGTTTTCTCAAAGCCCCTTTGACACGCAATGGCACACATAACCTAGCTCAGTGGACACCCTACCTGTTAGTAGTGTTTCCAGTTAGTGCTAAATCACGAAAAAAGCCCTTGAAGAATAAGGTAGTGTGAAAAAGTAAATTTTTAATTCCTCATGCCGGAGATTCCCATCTGTTGGAGTTTAGATAGGAACAAGCTGTGGTCTGCGCTGTTAAAAGCCTTTCTGAAGTCCAACTGGACAATCTCGCACGGAATTCGGTTGTCGAGGCTGGTGCTGAGTGCATAAGTGAAAGCTGCAAGGGCCGATTCGCAGCTCCTGCCGGGCGGAAACCATATTGGCGGGGGCTCCATTGTTTGGTTTAGCCATCGCAAGCCTTCGGACGGAGAACGTCGTAGCAGTTGTCTCCCCTGACGTTGAGGAGAGACAATACCCAGGACTAGTTCCGGCACATATAACTTTATCTAAACTCGGCTTGAGTTTGCGACACAGACAACTGCTACAACGTTCTCCGTCCGAAGGCTTGCGATGGCTAAACCGCCCTTTTTTTGCTGTCCCTCTTCTTTGTCCTCTTTTCCTCCCCTGGCCGCGAGGCGAGGATTCTTTGTAATCTGGCGCGAACGCCACGGTGGGACACACACACACACACGTGCCCGCACGCACAGCACCAAATGAGTCGGTAATACACTCCGTCACAAGTGGATGTTAGACTTGAGGGGGCACCGTGTCCCTTTTTGAGAGGCGTTACTGACTCAACTTTCCAGGATTTAGGAACAGAGCTGTGGGAGAGAAAATCGTTGAAGAGGCGAGTGAGGACGGGGGAGATACAGCCAGCACAGGATTTAGGCAATGCAGGGTGGAGGCTGTCTGGTCCAGGGCGTTGAGAGGAGTTGACACAGGCGAGGGCTTCGTAGGTTTCACTTTGAAGAATGACTATGGAAGAGAATGTGATTGCTGGTGTGGCCTTGATTGGCTGAGTTGTGGGTTGGGTGGGACAAAGGTTAGGTGCGGTAGGGTCAAGTAATGCTACAGCCCGAGAAATGTGGTAAGAGAAGAGCTGTGCTATGTCGTCAAGATTAGAATAGGGCCTGCCGTGATGTGCAAAGACCGGCGCGTGGAACATTTTTTTTTTTTTTTTTTTTTATAGTGAAAACATGCTTAAGAGTTTGGGCTGGCAGGTTGCTTTTGCTCTTAGTTGGTAGGTAATCGTTATGGGAGATATATACTTTGGTACGTGCCTGGTGGGCTTGGTTAAGATGAGTGGGATTTAGAGGCACTTTTTTGAATAGTCAGTGTTTACGTCTGATTAAGACTGCAATCTCCTTTGTCATCCATGGAAGGCTGCCGTGCCTCCTGTTGATCCTTAGGGTGAACACATTTGTGCTGAATTGCTGATATGTTGAGTGAGAGGTCGTCGGCCTCGTCAGCCGATGGGTGATCAAACACGATGAACCAGGGAGCGAGGTGGATGAGCTGATTGAGATGAGGGAAATCGGTTTTTTAGAACTGCTGGAACTTCTTGGCATGATGACCTCACTTAGGGCAATGGATATTGGTGAGGAGAGCACTGCGATCACTGCCTGGTAGGCTGGATTTCACTGTGCAGCGGTAGGATAAGGTGGGATTATTGGTGCAGACGAGGTCGAGGAATGTAGCGTTGCTGTTTTGAGAAATGTAGAATGAGGCGTCATGAAGTTGGGTGAGGCCAGCAGTTTCCAATACGTCTTACAGCATGTCATCAAGTGGATCAGATGAACAGTGCAGAGAACTTGCTGGGGTCGACGCGCTGTAGGCTCTTTTGGAGGAGGGCGTACAATTGTTCACGGACGGAGGGTGGGCAGTAGGTAGACACCAGAAGAAGCTTTCCATGTTTACAAAATACCTCGACAAAGATGGCTTCTAGACCCGGAGGGGTGAGGTGGTCGAGACGTTGGCAGGGCAGGTGTTATGGCATGGCGAGGACGGACTCCTTCGCCCCAAGGAGAGACAGTTTTGCTGGAATAAAGAGAATTGTGCGAGATTGATTAGTAATTCCCCATTAATTGCCCACCAAAGACAGGCGTCCAGCCATGTCTCGCACACAGCGAATATTGTATTCGGGAAAGATTAATTCAGCGCTTTAAAGTCAGGAAGGTTGTATTTTAGGAAGCAAATGTTGGAAAACCAAACGGGATTGGAGTCTGTAGCTCCGATCGCGCACTTTTCACACGACAACTATGCCAAACACGGAGTTGTCGTGCGAACGGTGAATGCTGCCGATGTCGCTCGCCGGAGGCGGGTCGGAGAACTACTTGGTAGTGTTGGCGATGATGGTGGGGTACACAGGGGCTTCGTGCTGCTTAGGGGATGGAAAGAGGTCATCGGCCAGGGGTGGGAGCTGGCACGCCGCACAGAGCCACTCGGTTGATAATGAGGAGAGGCGTCTATACAAAGCGAGAGATACATCTTCACATTTCTGGTGGAACCACAAATCATAAATGTCGCATTGGAGAGTGGCGACATTGTCGACAGACAGGAAACAGCAGGGACAGGTGGGACGTGAGCCGGGATGGAAGATACACCCGTGAGCAATATGATGGTGAACAGGCCTCTTCTTGTTTTTGACGCTCCTGCAAGATTTGGAACAAGCTCTGTTCCAGAAGAGGGCTAGAACGCAAAGTTTAGACCCCAAGCCAAATACTATTTGAGACATTGAGAGTTAATATAGCTTTAGAGAGCCGTAAAACGGGCAAGAATCCAGGTAAGGTGTTCACTTTCATATTGCCGGCGGGTGTGCTTCACCAGTGATCAGCAATAACGAGATTAGGTGAGGCTGGCAAGGGCGATGAATGAAGAATGCTGAGCCAGGAGGTTGCTTCCATGGAAGACAATGTTCAATGGTGATGCTGCAGTCAGAAAGAGGCATTCTAGGTGCTTACGGTTTGTCGATGATAGGTGATATTTTTGTCGAAGTAGCCCCGTTAGGCAGATCAGGAGATATTGTGGGATGTATGGATACGATCGACAGGTGAGAAACAACTTATTTACGGGCTTCTTGGTCATGTAGGACGGAAGTAAGATGCTGCAATTTTTTTTTTTTTAATCGCATGGTAGATTGCAATTTTGTTCTTTGTCATGATTCGTGTGCAGTTGCGTCGACATTTGTAAATATGCTCGCTAATCTAGTTTTCACTGGAAGGCGAAAAACAAGTTTGTGTCATTATTGAAAGTGCGTTGTTCGTGGTTCTGTGTTTATTTATACTAAAGCTATTTTATTACCTTTTCCGCGTTTATACTAAATCTTAACTGTATTAAGGTAATAGTATTATTATATACAAAATAAGTTATGTGTTGTTCTAAGGCAGCTCGAGCCCCATAGGGAGAAGTAAATTAGTAGACTAAGTAGTAAGTTTAGTACCCCTGCCACACGGAAAAGTTAATATATTTTCATTCAGTGATATAGGATTTAATCAGCTCGCGGTCTTGAGTGATTATACGAGCGCCGCAAGCGGATTTGTCGACCCCACAATGTCATTTGATCGAAATTGCATTAATTTTGCCATGTGGCCGGGGTATGATGCAAGAATTCAGTGACTGCACGCGATAACGTCGCTTACATGATCGAGAGAAACACTTGTCTTGCCTTGTCCGCGTTGACTACGTCTACCTGATTTTTAACTGTTCTGTTTTGCTGTTTCCAAATCACTGCGTGTCTCGCCATTTTGTCGAAGTATTTCTGTATAAAATATGCATTCCTGCAACAATAATTGCATGACTCAATGTTTTCGACTTAAAACAATCACATTTTTCTATAGACGTCTTGTACGCATACCTCGTGCCATTTCGTACCGATTATTTAGCGGTGTCATATTTTGCTCGTGTAATAAAATGTTTTCTAGACCCGTTGCTATGTGCAGCTTTCATTTTAGCTAATATGACTTGCGTATGTGACTAAAAACGCGTTACGACGGTCGATCTACGCGCGTTGCATTCGCTTCGACGCGCGCCCCCGATGGCCTTCCTTTGCGACGTCACGAGAAGAGCGCTACGGCCTTGTCTTCTAGGAGGTGTTGACAAAGCCCGATGAAGTTTCAACTCAACCGCCACTCTCCGTCGACGTCATCAACGCGCGGCGATGAAGTTTCCTGCCAGTTAAGTTCGCCGCCGATTGAGATTAGGCTCCTCCCACTGGCGACGTCACGATGAAGTTTCTTCATCGCTTTTTCCAGCATAGACAGACAGTTCACTTACTTCATCAGTGGGAAGAAAAATCCATACACGATCCGGTTCTGGCCCACGGGTTCCCAGAATGCAACGCGGGCGGTGACGGTTCATGTGTAAGTCAATTTATTTTTGCGTAAATGAATCAAGCCTCAAAAATTGCTGCAAATTCCCTCCGAAAGAAACAAAAAAGTACAAATCCAAATGGAAATTATCTAGCTAAAATGCAGATCCGGCACAGAAGATTTTACTTCGACATTCCAGATTTCGTTTTGGCTTACAGAACTTTATTAGGCATCGTTTCCATGTAGATACATAGATATTTGTTTTTCACTGCACACCGAGTTCCAACCACGTGTTGACAATGTCGCGTATCTACAGTTTAGTGCAGCTATTTGCTACAATGTGCAGTCAATCAATGCAAACAGCCCGCGGTTCTGCCCGTGGCACTACCCAAAGCAAAACCAGAGCAACTTGGTTCAACTCCGGTGATGACCCAAGGCATACATAACAAAGAAAATAAATGTGAAAAAAACTATTCGTAAATAAATCGGGTATGTACATATTCCTAAATTTTACAACCTGCGCTGCCATCCTCGTTTCCTCACTTCTGAAGTAACAGTAGTTGTTAAAATGCCGCGGTAGCCTTTGGCATGCGAATAGGACCAGTTCAGAAGAGGATTATGCGAGCTGCATTCAATGTGCACACGTTTTACAAAAATATATCGTAGTTGGGAATTGCTTATGCAGACTCCAGTGTCCGAGTATATAAGAGAACAAAACTACAAAGAAAGCGCTTCTATGGTTTGGCAGACCAATTCCATCGTGTTAGTAATAGGCTCTCGCTACTTCTGAAACACTCAACTATACAAGAAAATATTATATATATATATATATATATATCTACAAAAACTGAGCTAAAAAGCAAGCCAGTCCTAATGTTAGCCAGGCTAACATTCTATTTCAATCGTTTACACTTTTACCCCCTGAAAGAAATGTGTTGCATCATTTCCAAAAAGGCACATACTTCTAAATGTTGAATCGAAATCTTTGTATCACATATTTTTGATAGAAAATGCGAAATAGGCATTCTTAGATTTTCCTCGTAATACTGGGGGAAAATACATTCTAAATAATGACAGCTTTCTTGTATTGTCACTATAAAAATATTACACTGTGAGGCTTAAAACCTGACTTTGTAAACTGACAGCATCAATGGGTTCTCACAATTACTGAAGAAAGTCAGAAATTTCAGGAATTGAGAAAAACATCCGTCACAAACCAGTTTTTTTGCCAATTTATATGCCCATAGGCACACACACGGGACCTCATGAAAGTAATAGCATAGGTGGGCTGTGGCTGGGGTAGCATGAATCGTAACTGCCTCTTCAACATCGTTAGACTGGCTGAGGTTTTCTAGTCAATCCAATCTGTCCCATTCCCGGACAGCTTCGACAAATGCACTCTGTCATTGCATTTTTGCCAGTCCTCTTTCATTATGCTTATCTCTCCTGGTACAAACTATACAACGCTCACTTTTTATTAGGAATAGCAACAATTGAATGTACACAAAAACTGGTCCTAGAACTTTGCCATCTTCATCCCTCCATCAACCAGGCTTGTACTAAATAGTATGTCCAAGTGAACTGAAAGGAATATGGACCACCCCTGTCATGTTTGTAACACCACTCTATCCGTCTATTTGGCATTGCATATGCAAGTTCTAAAAAAAATCCAGACCTGCACGCATTTAAACAATTTGTTTTAGGCACTCACATTTCTGAAGTAAATATTGAATAAAAAGATTTTTTTTGTAATCAATCATCTCAGCTTTCCATAAAAGCTCTACACTACACATATTTTATTAATTCAAAAAGCTTGCTAGTCGAATGCTCAATAACTGTGTTGGAAATCTATGTGAAATTTCCTTCTAGGCATTTACATAATGAAACTATCTAATGTTCGAGAGAAATTATATGTGACTACAAATACAAAGATATGCTTATTTACAAAAGATAAAAATTGAAAATACAAGCACAGTGTAGGCCGTCAGTACAAATGTAAATATAATTTTGAGGTTCTAGGCACAAATAAATGAATGACATTCGATCATCGGAATGTTATGCAAGTACTTGAAAACATTAAGGAAGAAAATTGTTCCCAAGTCGCACATGTCAAGTTCTGTCCCCAAACAGGCTGGCAGAAATTCAGCCCGACAGATGCAGCAGGCCCGTACCATTTGTAGCGTAAGCAATTGCACCAACATTCTTATTTACTGGGGTGCACACTATACAAACTTTCCGTTTCTTCATCATGGTAACAAAAAGTATACTCTTTTGTAAAAGGACACTACATCTGCATAATGTGCTCCCAAAAACATTGCAAGGAATGGGCAGCCTAACCACATAGTACATAGTTATTAAAGTTCTGAGTACCCTATATCATTTCCAAAAATATCTTGTGGATAGGTTTGTTCCAAGCATCATCGAGTACACCTACATAATGCCTTAAGAGATGTCAAACTGCATGCAGTTCCGACGTATCAGAGCTACCTGTGCTGTAACTGGAATCTTTTACCGAAAATACTGCGAGCAGACCCACTCACATCTCGGTTTTTGAAGCAATTCACACGACACAATGAAGTCATAAAATAATGTAGTCGCTAAGTAATCGATAGAGACGCTGACCAACCTCGATGATCCTGAAAGGACATTAACCATTCTCATCAAAATCATTGAGGCCTAATACCTTGGAACGAAAGCGTCTTGGTGCATCCACGAGACCACGGACACGACAAACTCTATGCACAATTTGTGCTGTGCATCTGTTTTGCGGAGACATTTACACTACAGTAGCAAGGCCGTCCAGTATTCAAGAGGGGTTTTTCATGCAGCTTCCCATCGGTGGAGGGGGGGGTCGTTGCAGCGTGCTGGCAATGGTCCAGCAATTGCTGGCGTCCACTCGAGTGTCGTTGTCATGTGGTCGCAGGTGGTTGCTTATCACACACTCACAAGGTGAGACAGCAGGAATGCACACACACATCCGGGGACACAGGGGTGGTCGCGGGAGCGAGGGAAAGCTCAGGTCATCTGAAGCTTCTGGAAATTGCTGACCATGTCAAGGACCTTGCTGGACCGGGAAGGTTTGCTGGACGTCTGGAATGTGAGACAGGTTACCTTAAAATCGGCCCCTTTCCCGTACTAGCGCAACATAGGCAATGGGTCTTCATACTGGGCTCCCCAGAGTACCTCCGTGGGTTCCTCGAGCAGCCAGATTCCCCGAATCGTCCCCGCACCTAACTGTTTTATTTTAAAGTTGAAGCACTATTTTAGCGGCTCTAAGCCACCCATTGATACATAGCTATGATCCAAACACTTTCTAGTATGTGCACTATTGTTTACAAGGTCTGCAGACTCCTCAACCGTTTCACTGCGCCAATGCCAAGACCAAAAGGAGTCTCTCGGCTATCAATCTCGGCAAATAGGCCTTCCTCGAGATTAAGAAGTTTGGGAACCCCTGGCATAGGTAGTGGTAACACAGAATGTGCTGTGCACTGCTTTGAGGTGATGTCGCACGGACAAACTCAAAACATCTTTCGCCTTGACAGCACAAACGTCATCGTGTGCAGTCTTGGGCAGTAACTAGTTACTAGTAACGCGTTACCGATAACTAGTTACTTTTTTCGGTAACTTTTACCTGTAACGCGTTACTTTTTAAAACTGGTAACTTGTAACTGTAACAGTGTTACTTTTTTATTGGGTAACTGTAACTGTTTAGGCCGTTACAGTTACTTTTGTTTTACTATATAAATTAGAACCTACTGCCCAGGACATTGTGAAATTGCCATCTTGAAGCATTTTCTCAAAACTCCTCGCTGACAAAAAGAAAAAAAAGAAGCGTGGCCACGCATTAAAGAAACAAAAAATTGCCTGGTTTAGCCCACGACCGAGAATGGACGAGAGACGAGTCAGCACGAAACCGGGAAATAAAGGAAGCGGCGCCCGCGGTTGTAGGGGCGGCAAACAATGTCTGTTTCATCGACTTTGGCTCACTCTTCTCTTGTGGGGACCGTCTGTGGGTGTCATGGTCGCGCGATGTCTCCGAGCGCTCCATCTGGGCTGTGTCTGGGGCATGTTCGGACTGTCGTTTTTACACCCAGCCGATCGCCGTTTCCTCACCCCTATAAGTTTTCAAGGAAGCCGTCCCCATATTGTGCAGAAAGCCGGCGCTTGTATTCTCTTCTGAGCCGCTCGAGTAAATATGACTTCTACAGTTGGCGTTTCGGACAAAGACGCCGCGGTGGTCGTCGTACATGTAGTGCACCAGAAGCTAATTGTCTCCTTTCCCCCTTTATTCTCCCGAAGCTGTTTGACCTGCTATGTTTAGGCCTGCTTCCGACCGAGTATATTCCATAAGGTTATTATGTGACATTATCTGTCCTCATTCGTTTCGGAGTGAAAAATGAACGAAAACGCTCACTGGCGCGTGTCGATGGCAATTTTTAAAAACCGTTGATTCTAAGTTATAACAATTATTGCAAATAAATTTTGCGCATCAAAATGCTGAAACGGCGAATGGCGCAAAAAAGAAACACCCTTCGGGTTTAAAATTTTCTAATTTCTCAGTTTACCTTTCTTCTCACTATACACGTTTGCAAGTAACGCGAAAGTAACGGCGTTACTGTTTTTGCAGTAACTGTAACTGTAACACGTTACTTTTTGAAACCGGTAACTGTAACTGTAACAGAGTTACTTTTTCCTCCTAGGTAACTGTAACTGTAACACTGTTACTTTTTACTGGTAACGTGCCCATGACTGATCGTGTGTGCCATCTCCGAAACAAGGCACTGCCAGAGCTACTGGTCCAGGAGGAGTGGAACGTAAAGTCTGCATTTCTTCTGGTCGCACAACCCAGCACGGGACCTGCTATTTCGTGTCTCCTTGTTTCCTCCCAAGAACCTTGTATCCGGCACACCCTCCTACAATGTGTGCAGGTGTGCTTGCTCAACACCTCCTTGGTAACCTGGCCATAGTGCTGGTTTTTCTGTGCACTTCTGTTGCAAGAGTGCGTTAGAGGAAGTGGCTAGAAACCAGCCAGATGACACATTCTGTATAAAAACCTCAAGTAGAAAAGCTCATTCCCACAAATTTCCCTGTGAGCAAACGGAACCTGCCAACTGGCGACGCCAGATAAATTATCTTTTACCTGCAATCACAGTTTGGTGTTTTGGCTCAGATGTACTGTCAGAGTTTGGGGCAGTCACAAACAAACAAATGCATAACTGCAATCAAACTTGACTAAACCAACTGCAAAGCATAGCCTTGGCATATTTTGGACCATTTTCCATGTGCTCATGTATCATATTTTTACTAATGTTAAGGTAATTTTCTTAAATGAGTCAGATCAATGTCAAGCTGCTTCTCCTCTTTGTGTCAAATTAATGTCAAGTTATTTCTCTTTGTGTTGAACTATGTTTAGTAATATATGATAAACCTCCGGTTCACAGACCGATGCCCCAGTGCTATTATGCTTCAGTTTTTTGCTGCATTAGAAGTAAACTTGAACCCCACAGTGTTCCCAAGAGAGTGATTTTTCATTTAAAGTAACAGCATTTTTTCATTTAAAGTAACACCAAAGACAATTCCAAGAGTTTGTTCAAATTGCCACTTCCTGCTCCATTGACTATTCATTGTGCCACCTATTATTTTCTTTTCTGAGCAAACATAATTTTTCACAGAAGGCAGACAAAGAGTAGCAACAACTACCAAAACCAAAAATTTTGCCGAGAGCGTAAAACAGGTAAGACGCTACATTCGCCTTGGTGCAACAAATTGTGCGAGACCGGACTCTTCTGACAGCGACTGGTTCCATTGAAATATTTTCATGAGGTATAAGACCTTTATCACTATTGTCAGGTCACACTCATAATGTGTTTCACACTCAAAACTAAACAATGCAGATCTTTGAAGCTACAAATCCCGGAGAAAAGCTCACCCACTTTTGTGCGGGTCTGGAGAAAAGCTTACCAGTCTTTCAACAGACCCGTTGAGAAGTTCACCTCAAATTTAAATTTTATAGGAAGTAACCGATGTCATTTTATACCAGTAGTGCAACCAAAGTTATAGGTGTCTCTCATTCTGACAATATACACTGCGTGACACGGTTAGCACGAAAGTGAGTTCAATTTTGCATTTTACTTAGACAAGGCATTGACCAGCATCAAACTTTTATGGCATAAGTTGGTGCCCCGAATTGGCACCTTTCACTGCACTTTCCACGGCAGCCTTTCATTTCTAAGAATGGCAGGAAGGTTTCATGCCGGCAGGAAGGTTGCTTTTACTATGTAGCCGCGATGGTGGAAATGCAACCTTTCTCATCAAAATAGGTAACAATTGAATCCGCTGATTCTTAAAAAGCAAAATGGTGAAATGTGAGCATTTGGCAATACGGTGTTTGTATCAGGGTTGTGCAGTATCGTGATACAAATGTATCGCGATAGTATTTCAGAAATACATTTCGTATCTGTATTTCTGTACCGCGATATATTTTTTTTCACCAGTATCTGCATTCCTGTATCGAAATACATTTTGAATGTTCCTTTGTATCGCGATACAATCAGGTGAAATGTATTTCGTTACATTTCATGAGAAATACTCCCCCCTCCCCCCCCCCCCCCCCCCCAAAAAAAAAAAAAAAAAAAATCCGAACGTTTCTTTTTTTTTTTTTTTTTACTTTTGAGGGCGTTAGGGTCAAGGGAATGCTGGGGCATTGTTACCGTGCTGACCAAGGTTCCTTCCGATTCTCCAAACTATTTTTCTATGCGTCTTCTTCTCTCCTGTAGTGTTGCATAGTCGCGGACTCAAATCAGTGGCTTGCCAGGAGTGGAGTCAGAGCATCTTGTGCAGCAGGTCCTTAGGTAGGGATCTCTTGAGTCATGGTTTGCTGGCATCCAATGCCCGCTGCTAACCTCTCTCTTGCCCTAGCGTACACAGTACACCCAGCCGGCAAAGCTGAGTCACATTCCGTTGCAGCACGAGCCTGGCGGTGGTTGACTTGAAATATTAGGATGACTCATGCAGTGAAGCTCAACACATATTCGAATGCGGCTGCGCCCGTAATATTGCACGGCTCAAGGGTACGTCATCAGCCGTCATGAAAGTGACCCGCTGCTCTGGTGATCCGAAACCCAGGAAGGAGGTCAGACGTGGCCTTACTGTGCCGACCCAGACTTCGTTCACCTGCGACTCGTCTCGAGTGCGCTGTTTCTCGGAGAGCTCGCACCTGTGCCGGCAATATCAGCTCGCAATCTACGAGGTCTCTATTTGGAGTATGCAAGACGAAACTTGGGGACTGTAATTCATGTGTCGCTGGCGGCGGATCGGCAGAAAGGACCTTCACAACAGGGATGCCACCATATCGTTTTTTCAACCGTAACAGAAGGTAAGACATGTGTTCCAGGATGCTTTAGGTGGTCCACTATTTTCGAAAATTCCAAATGGCACTGCCTGCACGATCTTCAACAAGGTAACCTACAACAAAAGTATGTACTGTCCTTTCATACAGCAGCGTGGTAAAGTTTCATGTTCAAGGCCACACCTGCAGATAAAGAATACCAGTTCGTTTGACCGCGACATCATGTGATAAATATTGACAGGGGCGTCCTTATTGGACAGGGGTGTGGTGACGCTTTGATGGGATTTAGGATGACCTAGAATTTATTGAGAGGTCGAAGTCTTTTTGCATTCCTCGTCAGACAGACAGGATTTCAGGAAAGGGACTGTGGTCAGTCCTTGATGGAATGTTTTTTTTTTTTTTTTGAGAACATTGAAGACTCCTTGTCGTCCGAAATCACTACCTTCAAGGCAAAGTGCCAAGCCTACGGAAAAGAATTTCAGGGTCAAAAACTTCCACTTCCAACGTCAAGCTTCATCTCATTTGGCGTCTCAAACAAACTTGAAAAATGTATTGCAGTATCAGTATTTCTATTTCTGCCCTCCCTAAAATGTATTCCTGTATTTGTGTTTCCAAATACTTTTTGCCTCTATTTAAAATGTATTTTCGATACGTATCGCGATACACTTTTACAGATATATTTCAGTATCAGTATTTTAGGTACTATTTTAATGCATCCCAGTATTTGTATTTTCAAATACATTTTTGAGTATTTCTGCCCAACTCTGGTTTGTATACTATCCAGAAACTAGACAAGCTGCAGCCCTCTATGCTGTCCCCCGATTATCATTTAAAGGGACCATGAAATGATTTTAAAATCGAATTTCATCCACCGCACGTCGTAAAAGGTGTGAAAAGAAACACAAAAACACAAAACTAGGGAGCCAAAAAATATTATTTGCTATAGAACTTTTAAAAGAAAACTGGACTCTTTTGCGCCTTCCTTCCTTCGCCTGTTCACTACGATGCATGCGCGGAAATGGAGCACGTCAGCCAAATCCAGGTCGCCTATTGGGTAAGAGCCTACCTCACCAGCACCGCGATCGTAAACAATAAATAGCCGGCGAATGTTTCCTAAAAGTTTTGTTAAATAATATTCAGATCCACATTTTGTAGCATAATTAGAGATGTGTGGCGAAAATTGCCAAATTTGATAATGCTGAGAGCCAAGCGCCATCTATCGTGTGGTAAACGAAGCAACTACTGCGCGTGCGCAGTAGGGCAGGGCCGACAGAACGGTTATTTCCTTTGGTTTCCTTCCTCTCAAAACTCTGACTGACTGAACGTTTATTTTTCTATGTGTTCATCTCGCGCTTGCCGACTTCAAGCAGCAAGAAAAAAAATGTAATTAAAGCAGACCACGACGAACAAGAACGCTGGATCCACAAACACCCGAGAAGAGCGACAACAGCCGCGAATCCCGCTCCGACGAAGCTCTCAGAATATAGGCCTAGCAGGCACTCCGACTCGGCGCAGCGTTGCTTCGTCGCAAGACCGTCTGCCTGCCTACGACCGGCTGGCGTGCTGAATGGAATATGCCCGTGCTACCCTTGTGGACCCTTCCCGTATTATAGTTTGATCGCTGACCTCAATTTTAGATTAAGAGGTGAGGTCAATCTCTTCCCCTTGTTTTCCGAGGCAGTGTTGACGAACACTCGTCGAAAAGAGACCCTCGTCGATTCTCCCTTCTTGTTTTGTGTGATATAGAGCTGAAATAAACGCTGTATGGATTACCTTCGTAACACGGTATGTACTCTTTGTTATTGGTATGCCATTTTTATTCTGACAGACTGCACGTCACTGTCGAGCTGTAACAGTTCGTGGGAGGTATACGTGCAATACCGGTCCAACCTTTCTTTGCCGAGTGTCGCGTCAGTATTGAGTTGCAATCGTAAAAGATCGGTCCCGAAGCGCTTACCAACAGCACGAATACAGCACTTCCATCAAACGCGCGCGTCCGCTTTAAGTGTGAACAGGTATTTACGTGGCTCTTGCTGACACTCGTAGTTCAAACGTATCTTTTTTAACGTCGGCTCGCTCCTGCATCTCCGAGACCGCGAAAAACGCCGCGGCAATTTGTTTCCATCTACGTCGCTTTGCAAACGACTGACACTGGCCGCCTTTTACCAACAATGACAGTTGGGTTGACTTCTGAAGTCTTCACCGGAAGACTCGCTGCACTTCCCAACAGGCATACCGGTGTATGGGACTAGTCCCATGCTGTCGCTGTAGCGCAACGTATCTCATTGAATTTCGCTCAGCTGCGATGCGGCGATGAGAGGCGCCGATTCAGAAAATACGTCGGTGACATCGGCGCAGTAAAACCTACCGGCGCACCCCAAATCGTCGCCGCTAACGCTCCCATCTCCAACCGCCGAGAGAACTTCCGGTTCTGGAAGCAGCGTACGTCACGGCTTCTTTTGCGGTCAAGAAAAAGTCGATATTTCGTTAATTTTTTGTGTAGAAGTTAATAAACCGAGACGAAAACGGATGCCTGTTCGGCATTCAGTGAACATTGACGGTTTAATGTAAAAGTTATCTGGAAAAAGTAAAAAAGTCATTTCATGGTCCCTTTAATGAGTATCCTATACCAAGGTCATTCCAAGGTCACGTGACCCCTCCCAAGGTCACGTGACCCCCGAGGTCACGTGACCCCTCCAGGTCACGTGACCCCCCAAGGTCTCGTGACTCCTCCCAAGGTCACATGACCCCTAAGGTGACCCCCCAGGTCACGCCTCCCCGAGGTCATGTGACCCCCCTTCCCGAAGTCACGTGACACCCCCCCCCCCCCCCCGAGGTCACGTGACCCCCCCGGAACATAATAAAGAATGAGGGGAGGAGGAGGAGGGGTCTACCCTCCCCTCAGTACCGTTCCATCTTCCTCCTCAAGAGCTGCGCTCCAATTCGGCGTTACAGGGAGTTGTAAACGGCTTTCACTTTTTTTAATCTGAAAAAAGAACTTTTATTCCACCGACTAGACAGGGCTTTGTGGACCCCTGGAATGCCTTTGCGGACCCCAAAGGGTCTGCGGAACCCCATTCAAGAACCACTGAAGTACAGAATGACCCCATGCTCATAAGGCATGCCAGAATATTACAGTTGAGTGACTATATTTCACTCGAGTGAACTGTTCAATTCTTAGATTCCTATGTGAGCTTTCCTCCGCATTCGCCAGAAGGCTGGTGAGCTTTTCTCCACATCCAGCGGTTTTGCGGTGAGCATTTTCTCCGGTGAGCTTTCCTCCGCTGCTGTGAAGGCACAAGTGCACAAAATCGTTTCCCATCTCATTGAAGAATGGACCTCGATTTCCTTCTCACATTCTCCCCCCCATCAGCCAAAAGATTGCAGGTTAGCAAGCTAATCCAATGCCTCCTAAATGTACAAGGTACATTCAGGTTCGTTAAGTCGCCTACTGAAAACCACTATGCGATAACAAATCCCAGGAAAAGAAAAGGAAGCTTTCTCCCTTTTTCAAGAAGCAAAGAACAAAGCCCAGGTTATCGATAGCCATAGGTACGGCAATGCCTCCAGGTTCACCCAGAGCCACTCAAGGTTCCAAAAGTTCTGTACACCACAGCCTCCACTTCAACCGGAAAATTGAGCCAATTAAACTTTCCAACTGGTTGATGTAAGCCACCTTAAAACTAGAAAAAAAAAATATGCGTAAAAACATGTAATGTGGGAACTTTGGACAGCTGCTGTATGTATCCAGTCAAAAGGTAACAGACAAGGTTTTTTCCGGGGGCTTTTATATCAGCTATCAAATAATCTATTGGATAAAAGCAGGCTCTGCCAGCTCCATCGACTCTGGCTTGATTTGGTTTGTTTGCGTCATTTTGAAGCCACCGATTGCAGCACAGTAATATTGTTCTGAAACACAGCTTAAGAGCTTCTATACACGTTTGCAACTAGCACCTCCAGGTGCCGTCAACTTGCTCACTTGGGGTGCGCTTAGGCGCGGCCATAATCCAATTATGACGCCCTGCTAAGGCGTTGTAATCTGTGCCTGTTTCATTTTATCGAGTTACTCTCGTCCGTTAATCATATGTTCAATGAAAGCAACGTTAAACCATCATCATCTTTCTCTCTGCAAGAGACTGTTGCGACCAGTTTTCTTCCACGAAAATTCCCATTATCATCAAAATAAACAGCGAGCTTCATTATAGCTGCCATATTTATCATCCCCTAAAAAGGACCATCATAAAGTCGGTGTTTCTGCTTATCGAACTAACCAATCTTTCATGCGTCCTAAGAACTAGCGTTCATGGAAGCCCCCCTTCACCTCCTTGGCCGCAATAACCGACGCTTTCAGAACAGTCACGAAAAGGACTAGCCTTATCAGCAGGTCGCCTTCGTTGTATCTTTGTTTTATCTTTTCCAGCTGATCTGACTTATTTTCTACATCTATGGTCCCCACAGGCACAATTATCTCTCAATCTTCCAGAGTTCAAAGTATGAGACCTCATGAAGCTTTGCCTTCCAACTGCTAGGAGGAATCACAGCTCCCTCGAAAACCGGCACGTACCATGTAGAGGCATGAAGCAACATCACTAGATCAAAGTCAGTTGACAAGCTTCCTAGAATAGAATGCCTGGCACACTTTGTGGGGAGCGTCCGCTCAGTGGCGCTCGCTACGTTATCAGCGTGCTCTATGGACAGAGGCGGCAAAACCGGCGGTTACTTGGATGCTAACTGCCTGTGGTGGAAAGGTTTCCAATAAACATGAAGTTGGCACAAAAAGAGGGTCGCTCGAAGGTGGTCCTTGTTCGTTTTTCGTGGAGGCATTACTGCTGGTGGCACTAGGAAAACTATCCACCCGCACCTGCTCACGTTCAGGCAACAGAGAAGAGCCCTTTTCGAATGATGCTCTTCCATGGATCTTGTCAAGTGATAGCTCTACTAACCTTATCACAAAGGACTGTTTCAGCTCATATCAAACATGATAGTACCCCCCTATTCCCACTTCCTTCAGTAACCTCTTGGGGGTATTAAAATCAATTTAAAAATCGTAAATTAAGAAATAATGAAAACTTCCCGAAAATCCCACCTCGAGGACAAAGGAGCTGTCGGCCGGCCGCCCCAGCATGAGCCGTTCCCGTTGCTCGCGCAGCTCACGACGCTGCTGAGCTAGCTGGAGCCAAGATGGCTGCTGCTCGTCGGCCATCTTGGGACACCCAGGCGTGCTGGGGGCCCCGCCGGAGGCCGCCATCTTGCTAGCCCGGAAGGAACCGGTGGACGAAGGCGAGGCGCTGCTCACGGAACTGGCCCTTTGCAGCGCTTTGCCGCCCTTGATGGAGCCTCCTTCCGCACTGCTGATACTGCTGTTGCTACTCACGCTGGATGTTTTCTCGAACGGAGCGTGGGGCTTTTTCTGGACCCCAGTCACCTGTCGGTTGCGAGCAGACACGTGAATCGGTATGGAACTTTTTTTACCATGGATGCAGTGGTTCTTTTGCATAGTCTTTTTACGCATGTTTTTAACACTTCCTGCAGTTTTATTGAAGAATTTTGCCACGCTTCCGATATATTTGACAGGAACATTAAACAATATTCCTGTCAGAACACTTTAGAATTGAATTTTCCTGGAATGAAATGTCTTAGAATATACATTTGAGGGGCTATGCGCCAGAAAATAGGTTGTGGTATAAACTGGCGTAGAACCAAGTGCAGTAATTCCAGCGCGATATAGTGGCGGAATAATTCGTTGCCCTAAATTTAAGCCGAAGGTATTCTATGAAGTGATACTACAAGCTCAATGTGATTGACCTACTAAAAAATTCCAAGGTCTGTCCAGGTTAGACATTACCAAACTCACTAAGAGCTAGAGTCACAAACAAAAAGTGCATATGGCCTTAGTTGACAAACATTAACGAGTAACAAGTGATATTACCTGATTTTTCAGTTAATGTTACACAACAACTGGTTTAGCCACTTACCATAATATACCGACTGTGTGCCCAGGTCACACTGAGCCACCATCCGCCACTTTTGAAATGTTCGAGGACTAAGCAACAGACGTATCAAATGCTCACCCCAGACTTTTGAGCTTACCTAAGGCGTTCATCCTTGTCAGCTGCTTCTCCAAGCACCCTGGAGCAAAGCAGTGAAGCCCACACTACCAATGCCTCTTTGGCATTTATGCTCTTGGGCTTCTCCTATACTTTTTCGTGATTTTCTCCCAATTCCGGGCGAGCTTTTGCTTAGTATTTTATAGTAATGTCACTTGCTTAGTATTTTACGGTAATGTCCCACACTAACTGGTGCGTCCAGTTAAGGGGTAGACCGGTTCTCATTTTGGGACACTGGTCCCGAAACAAGCTTTTTATTTATCCAGATATTCTAATGAAATTCAACAGTGTAGATTACTATGTGTTTTTCTCTTTTTCTCCAAATATGAAGTTAGTTTTGAGATAACTCAAGTAGTTCTCGAGATTCATAGACCATACAGAAGACAAATTACTAGCTCATTTTCTTACAGGTTTTTAAAACCCTTTACAAAAGACCAAAAAAAGTTTTTTTTTTTTTTTAAGTCAGAAGATATTGCAGTTTTTTACCATTTTAAGGTTCAAGTATTCCCTTAATGTCACAGGCTAACCCGTCTAGCCAGTTAATATCGCACAAACCGATCTAGCCACCTCGTATCAACGCAGCAGGCGAGGCCACTTGGCCAAACAAATGCAGCTCACCTTGGCAAGCTCCTCCTGGGCTACTTCGGGCGACGTATGAAACCGCGGGCGTGAGGCATGCAGGTTCCGCCTCAAGGGCGAGTGCATCTCCGGAGCGCCCGTGGCTTCTCCTCGCTGCACGTCCGACGAAGCTTCGGGTGCAACAATGGTCACAGACTTGGAAGCAGGCCCCAGGTCCCCGTTCCTCTGCGAAACGATCCCCGCGTGGCTGTCGTGCTTAAACCCTACCGGCTTAGCCGCATGGAAGACCGGAGGGGTCGCAGAGGTTGCACCTCGAGACTCCGGGGACTTCGATGGCGGAGCGTGCGCCGGCGACGCGCCGTTGTTCGCCGCAACGGGCTTGGGGTAAGATTCCGAGTTGACGACCGTGACCGACTTGGCGAGAAACTCCGAGCTCTTGAGTCCCGGCAGCCTGGGAGAACTGTCGCCGCTCTGGAGACCCGAAGACCTCCCGAGGGACTCACGGGCGTGTGGTATGGGGCTTGCATCGGCCTGCTTCTGCGGCGCCTTCGGCGGCAATTCGACGCTTCCGAAGGCCGACGACTTTTCGTTCGTCTCGATCAGGCTCGAAACCGAGCCCGACTGCCTCGCACGGTGAAGCTTGTTCGACGCCGGCAAATCGACGGTGGTTCCCAGCTCCGAAATTTGCACGATGGTCCCTCCGGACCCTTTCGCCGGCGTGCCGTGACCGTTCAGCATTTCGGGCTTGACGTCCGGTCTCACGGCCGCCGTCTCCGCCGTGCCGCCGTTGGCGTCGCTTTCTGCGTGCTTTTCCACGCTCTTCTGCTTGAGCGAGCGGCGCGCAAACACCTTGAAGAGCTCGGGTTCGCCGCTCGCCTCCGAATTCTTCGGAAGAATGCTGCGAGTGAAGGGACGTGGCCGGATGTCGTCGCGTCTCGGCGGACTGCCCGTCATGTCCGAAGCCGACTTGGACCGCTCCTTCGCGAACTGCTGGCCGTGATGGTTCCTCAGTTCCACCCGCTCCCCGTTCTCGAGGAAGATGGCCCTGGGAGCCACCTCCGGCTTGCTCTCTTTCTCGGACATCGACTGGATCTTGACCTCGAACTGCGGCGAAGGAACCACCGCCTCGTCGCCGTTTAAGGCCGGGGCTTTAGGCGGCGACGACGAGACGCTCTGACCATTCTCTTCCGTGACGAGCGAGCTGCGGCGCCCCTTGTAGATGCGGAAGTGGATCGGGTAGCTCATGTGGTTCTTCTCGGGGCCGCTGACGTCGGAAGGCGGATCGTAGCTGCCGTCGTTGTGGCCGCCGCTGGTTAGCTGCGGTGTCGAGCGCCTCGTGTCTTCCAGCTTGCACTCGGTGTCCGTTTTCGTCGGAGACGGAGGGTAGTTCTGCTCTTTCCTCCGCTGACTGAACGGGAGTATTTCCACCGAGAGCGGCCTCTGAAGAGGAGAGACCCCGGTGTTGACGCTCTGCACGACCTCGACGCTCGAGATGCGGCGCGGCGCGGGAACCACGCTTTCTCTCGCGGCGACATGAGGCTGAGACAACTTCCTCAGCCCGAACGAAACGACCTCGGAAGGAGACTCCACGGACGCCTCCATCGTGTCGGGTGCGGCGACCTGAGATTCGGCCGCGAACGACGCCTTCTCGGGTGCCCCGACGCAGCCGTTGTACCTTTCGCCACCAAACTGGACGTTCCCATTGACCAGATCCAGATTGTCCTGCTCGTCGAAGTATTCGTTGCCGTCCTTCGATTCACCGCTTTCGATCGCCAGGTCGAGCGTCCTGATACTCTCTTGGATGTCAATCATCTCCGCGGTGGCTTCGTCCGTGTCTCCGTAGTCCAGTGTCCTGCCCATTTCGCGCTGTCGCTTGTTGAACTGCGCAATCTCGTGACGCAGCTTCAGCTCGGCCGCCTTTGGCTTCGGAGAATGGTGGACTTGCCGAAGAGCCTGGCCTTCGTCCCTCGCCGACGAGACGGTCACCTCCGAACTGTCCTTGATCAGGTGACTCTCTCGGCTGACGGTGACTTCGTTGTTTGAGATCGTGATCCGCGACGACGGAGCTGGCTCGTGCTCGTCCTGCGCGTCTTCGGCGGCACCAACAAGGTCGGAACTTTGGTGCTCGTCGAGCTTGAGATTTGCAGACGGTGGGGTCGGTGGTGATTCGAGGCTTTCGGCATCTTTGTCCTCACTGTGAGAATCTGCATTCTCGCACTGAACCTCGTCTTTGACGTCTTCAACCACATCGAGTGGTCCTTGCGCCTGCTCCAGTTTCGGGGTCTCGGCAACTTTTTCGTCGTCTTCCTCGTCCTCCGGAGCGAGCTTTGGGAGCAACGGCAGGTTTCTGGCCTGGGAGGTGGCTTGAGTTACACCTGGAACGGAGGAGGAACTACGTCTCTGGGCACGCTCTCAAATTTCAAGCTTTGAGCATCTCACATGTCAGATATATTGCAACAATGGCCATAATTAAAGTGCTGTGGCTAAGATATACCATTGGTTTCTCGCATTTGGGGTTGGAAGACATACGCTGGTCCCAAGACTGTTGCCTACAAATGCAGCCTCACGAAAGAGCTCTTGAACTGAACCACCGGTAGAGAGTCACACATTCTAACATCAGCATGAGTGCGGAGGACAGAGCAAGAAACCATCTTCGCGTGCACGTGCAATTCACATAAGAATCAATAGCGTCCGACTCCTCAATCTTAGTCTCGCATTAAGTGGTGATAGCACGATACTAAATTGTATGCAGTCTGTACATTTTTCCATATAGCCTGTTCCAAACTGCATTACACATTTATCATTAAATTTACTACAGTAGACTCTCATTAATTCAAACTCTAGAAATCCACTTATTTTCTGTGAATTACAAAAAGTTTGAATTATCAAAAAGTTATCTAGATACGTTGCAAGAGGAAGTTATGATTTGCCATATGAATGGTTACACATACAAAGCGGATATTTGATTTTCCCCTACATAGGCCGCTGATCATAAACAGGTATGCCACAAAGAAACATTTGTGAAATGTATACCATAAGCTTATTTATCCCCGAAAAATGTTGTTTATCGTGGACTGTTTAGGCAGCACGTGACAACTCAAAACAAAATTAAGTTTGTTCATCGAGCCAAGAAGATGTCTAATTATTAAGCAGGAGACTCATGAGCAATGAAAAAGGCCACCACGTGGCAGTTTTCATAGCAGCTGGCGCGGGCGCTGTGACGTGGACCTATGCCATGCCACCACGTCACAGCGCCGTGCATGTTGGTATGGAAAGCTCTGCATGGTGCTCGATTTCATAGCTCATGTGGGGCCCCTGCTTGAGCCCCATTGAGTGCACTTCTCACCGAGCACCGGTGCACTGCGGGGAAGCAACACCCGCGGAAGCAAGTGCAGGTGTTGCCTTTCTGCAGTGCACCGGTGCTCGAAAAGAAATGCACTCAAAGGGGTCGCGAAAACGAAAAATGTGAATTGTACGAAAATGCCGTTCGAATTAAGCGGCTTTTGAATAGATTAAAAACATGGCGGGACAGCCAAAACTTTTGAAATTTGTTTCAATTAGCCAGATGTACGAAATATCCGAATTTGAATTATTGCCGGCCTACTGTAGCTGTATGAAACGAGTTCCTGAATAGATTGCTAAACATAACTGCAGTCACTGAGAGTGAGAATGGCGGAATGCATCTTTAGAACACCCGGCATTTAGCAGGCGCTCCGTGCGCTTCCACCTGGCTTGGGCCGCATGTTCAATCAAAGTTCATGAAATGTTGAAGGGCTGTCGAAGGTAGAATGCTTGTGCTGAAGGCAGGGCAACTGAAGCTCCTCCTTGCCACCCTCACCTTGCCAGGGACAATAGGTATTGGTTTCAAGTGACATATAAGGCAGCTTCACATGGCACACTCTTTCCACGGATGTTTGCAAAAGTCTGTGCCACTGAAACACACTCGACATTTCCCTTACGGAAAGGCAATGTTTTTCTCCTTGGCAGAAATGGATGTAGGCTGCGATCGAATGCACCAGAGAGAGTAGTCAGGAACAAAAGCAGCTGCTTCGTTTCCTTAATTGTTCAAAATACTGGCAGTCATTACCAGTCAAAAGGAGCCAGCACACGAGAAATCTGTTTTTTCAGGGACATTAATGGCTCCTAACAGATACCACACTACACTACCCTCGACAGGAAAAAAACAAACAAAACAAAGCCACGGTTTTGCAGCCCAGCTATGACCGATAGCTACCTTTCTAGGATCCTTTAAGCGGTAAGCTATGCACAGTGCTTTCAGAACCTATTAAGCTGAAAATGATGCTTTTAAGTACCGCATTTTCCTGTCTATAAGTAGCACCTCCTGTAAACGGTTCTTTTCAGCGAAAGGTTGCTATGCAAGTCTCACGTTTGTATAAGTCACATTTACATATTCGTAAGGTCGGCGCGGCGACGCCACATTGAAAAGCCCGCATATGTGTATTACGATTGCAATATATGTGCGAGCGAAAGCAAGTTTCAACACTGTCGTGAATGAATCGGACGAGAAATAAAATCCCCATGGCCAATTTTCACAGTTGAGGTCCATACTTACCGAAGAAAAAAAAGGCAAATAAGTCGTATCGTTGAATAAGACACCCCAACAGAAATGTTTGGGGGAAAAACTGAATTATACAGCAGAGTGCATGGTAATAAGTAGGGGGAAATCGAACAAAGAAATGAGCCAGAGGAAAAGAAAGGGTTACTATGGTGAGACCATTGAGCTGACGCATTGCTCCACCTGGACCATCTTTTTCCCATCTCCCCCCTGTTAATGTCCCAACAGTGCCCGGCAGAACCCCACCACTTCTCAATCAGTGGTTAAACGCAAACTAACGGGGAAAGTTGAAAAAAAAAACAAAGAAACAGGTTCACCAGCATGAAGACTTGCGACTGCTTACAACCGAGCGCATTAGAATTCTTTGTTATCTCTTACCACGACAAAAGAAGCTGGCATCACCTATCGGGTAGCAGCGGAACACTCGCGACTTCCGTATATTTCCATTTTTTTTCCACAAACTATTTGTTTGCTGCTGGCTCAAATAAACTTTCGCTAATGTTATAAATGACACGATTTCTCAAAGATCGTACGCATGTTTGGTCTCACAAATGCCGCAAATCCTTTGTTCTACTGAAATGCAGTTCCAAGGCCACCTCATAGATGGCGCCAGCGTGTTTTCCCGTCGTCAGAGATCACAAGCGGTTGTGACGGACTCTGTCATGTGCGAACGCAAGTGTGTGAATCAGCCTCGACTCCAAAAGGGGCACCTGAACCGGAAACGGGGGTTCGAGAAACCTCCCGTAGGGGTAGGGTGACCATATTCCTCAACGCAGAAAACGGGACATCCCAGCCGCGGCGGCGGGAAAAGGGGGGGGGGGGGGAGGGGAGGGAGGGGGGAGGGGAGGGGGAGGGGCGTACTAAAGGGCTGGAAAAAATTATATTATATCGTTTAGACAATTTTTTTACGAAGACCTCAGTGCTAACTGACTCCCAGTTCGGATTTCGCAAGGGAAAATCCACGGAAAGCGCTCTGATATCACAGAAAGAAATAATATTACACAATATAGAATGCAAACTGCTGACACTGGGAATATTTATTGACCTTAGCAAAGCGTTTGACTGTCTTAACCATTCGACGCTCCTTGATAAACTTTCATGTTATGGCATACGTGGCACGCCTTTGATACTTATTCATTCATATTTAGAACACCGTAAGCAATGTGTCTCCGTGAGTGATCATGTTTCCTCTTTGCAAATCTTGAAGTTTGGTGTGCCCCAAGGCAGCATACTCGGCCCTCTGCTGTTCAATGTATATATAAATGATCTAGTCAATATTTGCCATCAAGCACGTTTTGTAATGTATGCAGACGACACGAGTATATTTCTGTCTGCATCGAATATGGACGAACTTATACCCATGGGAAACTTAGTTTTGGAAAAGTTTCTTTCGTGGTCAAAAATAAATGGTCTTAAAATAAACACTGTAAAGTCCAAAGCAATTTTGTTTAGACCTGTAAATAAGCACGTTATTAGTAATTATACTCTAGAGATTGGAACTGACCAGATTGAAATAGTTAAACAGCACAAAACGCTAGGTGTCATTTTTTCAGAACATATGCAATGGGATAATCACATCGAATACTTAGTTACGAAATTGTCAAAAGTTGTTGGAATAATATGCCACTGTCGCTCCTTGTTGCCTGTAAATATTAAAATGCAAATTTATCATGCTCTGTTTAGCTCACAAATTAACTATTGTCATTTGGTTTGGGGCACAACAACCAAATCTAATATTAACAAACTCACGATCCTACAAAAGAAAATGCTGCGTTTTATTGCAAACGTGCCTTACGACACTCATACTGAGCCATTATTTCTTAAATTCAACATCATGAGGATTGCCAGTGTATACGAGTACCGTTTGCTATGTTCTTATTTATTTTCGACCGCTGAGTTTGCTTCTTTTTTGTCTAATGTATCCCATCTGACAAAACGTGAATCCTTCATCCTTGTCAGACGCAGAGAGTTCTGGAACGTGCCTCATTTTCGTACAAATTATGCACTCCAATCTATTGCGCATAACCTGCCTTCATTACTTAACAAGTTCCTTATAGACCACAATGATATTCACTGTTTAACAAAAAAAGATGTACGTGTTTGTTTTGTTTAGTCAAAGTGTGTTCTGTAGTACTTGTTTTTTTTTATAATGCCCTGTAAGTGCAGGGGCACCAGGCCCAGTCAAGCTACCTCATGGAAGCTTTTTGTCTGGTGCCCTCAGCACAATATTGCTGAAAATAAATATTACTTACTTACTTACTTACTTACTAAAGCTTGAGTTAGGAAGAAAAATTTAATGAAAGAATTTGTCTTATTTCATAACGTTCGCATATTGCACTAAGCCCTAGGAAACAGCCACACTCACACTTCAGTTGCATGCACTCATTTGGAAGGTCCTGCTTCGGGTCCTTCGTTGGTGTGGGCGTAATTTGTCAACGACGGAAGTTTTCTAAGCAGGCCTTTATCCTGCAAGACTCGGTTGTAAACGTCTGCCCACTTTAGTGGGAAGTTCAACCGCATAAGTAGCGTTGCTCGCAATGTTGAGACAAGAAGGCGAAACGTCTCGCATGTTCACATGGAGTTCATAATTGAAAAGACGCGCTCCACTGGAGACGTGCTTCCAGAGTAGCACAGAGCCATTTCCACGACCCGGGAAATCTCGGCGCCAGAATGCATTCTGCTTTCATCTCTTTAAAGACTTGCACTCATCTCTGAGAGACCTGAAGAGTTCCTCTTCTAGTTTCTTTTCAACGCTTTTCTTGACAAAGGTCCATTGGTGAACACACACATACATTTCGTCGGCATTTTCGAAAGAGTGAAGTGTAGCCAAACTAGATTCTACATGCGTGCTGTATCCAGTACCTAATATACATACTTACGCAGAGAGAAAAAATTTTGAAATATATATATTTCTACACATGCGTCTTCGCGAGAGAAAAAGTGTTTGTGGACAAGAACATTTCTAAAATTTTCTCTCTGGGTAAATATTCTAAAGTACCTACGGTTATTTTTGTAGAATATACTTGTAACGAGTAGGCATATTTTCGATTTGCTTCAACTCGCTTAGTGCCATTTTCGAAACTATGCACTTCTACGAAAACGGGACATGATTCGTTATTGGGACAAAAAGATGGGACGGCAAAAGCGGGCCTCAAAAACGGGACTGTCCCGGCCAAAACGGGACGTCTGGTCACCCTACGTAGGGGGCACCACGAGCCTACCGTCTTCTCCAGCCACTTCTGTCGTTGCTTCGGAGGACTCGACCTGCTGCGTGGGCGGAGCCTTGCTCGAATCTTCACTCAGCTCTGGAGTGGTTGGGAGAAGCCGGGGTGCTGCTGCCGAGAGCTGTCGGATGAAATAAACACCATCAAAGAGAGATTCTGACTCTTACAAAGAGCAAAAGTCAAAAGAAAAGATTCCTCGAGCATTCTTTTTTTTATCTATGAGCTACAAACTACATCCTTTCCACTCAGAAACAGCCCATTTTTTCAGTTGCATTGGTCCAGTCATGTATCCGACTGTCTGCGAGTATATTTTGAAAAGAGTTGCCCATCTTCTTGCAATCCTATTTCTCAGAAGGTATCTTTGGAATTAGAACTTAAATAAGGGTAACTTTTTGATACCTTGTAAACAAAAGAATGCAATAAGACCGAGACTTCAGCACAATGTGTACAAATTGTGTATAATTGGCGACAACTGCAATGTTCTCTTTTTAATTGCAAGATAAAAAAAACTTCATAGTGCCATATTTAAAAAAAAAATATAAGAATAATTTAATTGTACTCTTCCCGGTTTCTAGAATATATGAAATACTTCCTGCTATAGTATTTTTAAAATAGCAGTGTAAAAGCAAAGACTAAATAAGGTTGCAATTTGTTTACACATATAAGGGAAATATTAAAAAATATTGAGCTCACCATTCTTCCTCTAACACCAAAAATTACAACAGGTATAACTGCTTCATCTAAATCTAATGATAAACTACAGAAACATCCAAAACCACAGAGAATCATGAAATATCAAATTTTGGGTTGTTTTCTTACTCTAATTAATGCGTATGACATAATAATTAAACCCAACATAAAACCACAAAGTTGCTGAAAGTAATTTATTGTTACGTCATTGGTTTCAGTTTCATTTGCTGGTAAGCAGAAACCTGGGATGACATCAAAGACCAGAGAGTGCAACACTGCAATGGAAATCACACGGCCCTAAAGTTGGGGACACGTTAAGAGTTCAGAGGAGACAGCTCTCCCTTGAACAGGGCAAACGCTGGAGAGGCGGTTGCCTCCTCTCCAGTATTTGTACTGCTAGAGGGGAAAGAGATGGGAGGGGCGTCCCCCCAACTTCTAACCTGCCACCGACTATAGAAAGTTGCAACGTGCTACATCCATTCATATACACCTGCTAAAATGAGGGCAGACGACAAAGCTTTCACCACGCCATGGGATAGCCACCGCATAATTGAAGTCTATGGTCTTTGACGTCTACCCGCGGTCACAGATCGTAGCCATTGAAACTGAAACCATAAAGTAGAAAGAATCTGACATAATAAATTATTTACCGAGACTCAGCTTACTGTTTATGTTAAATTCCATAATTAGTGAAGCTGTAGGCAGTATCTAGAGTAAGAATAAATGAAACTAAAATCTGATATGTCTATTCTATTAAAAGTTTCATTTAGTTCAGCAACATGAAGCTGGGGTGTCCGGAAAGCCAGGTAAAATCCACGCTTCCTTTTTTCCCCAATTATCAGCACAGGTTTCACAACTGGTCAAGAGAGTTTGCATTTTATATTTGAGAAAAAAAAAAATATTTCTTCATAAATTCTCGATAAAAGGGAAAAATATGGAGCCCTCTAAAAAGGTGAAAAAGCCCGAGCAATTAGTTCTCACCAACTGTTGGCTCCAACAATGCTCCCAGTGGTTCCAACTGGTTGTCAAACTGTTGGTTCTAACTGGTTTTAACCAACTGTTGGTCCCAACTGGTTCTAACAATGCTTTTACAGGTTCCAAATGGTTCTAGTAAACGATGGTTCAAACTGGTTCCAACCAGCTAGTTTTAGCCAACTGCTGGTTCCAACAATGCCCTCGCTGGTTCCACCTGGTTCTGTGTTGGTTCCAACATTGGTTCTAATGGGTACAAGCTGGTCTCACTGAAACAGCCAACTGAGATCAGGCACAGTGCTTACTGCCTGAAGCATACGATGACGAGGGAGAGCGTGCGTCCTCTTGGGCTTCACTGAGATCTTGTGCAATGCAGCATTGTGGTTGAGTGGAAGTGGAAGGTCAGCGCTGACGTCGGCTTCTGAGAACAAACAAGGAGAAAGAGTATCTCGGTAATTATAGGCCCTATCTACACGACCACCCCGTCCAAGATACGAGATAGGATGCAAATCTTCCAGACCAAAAATAGGCCACTGCATTTTGCTCTAAAAAATGGTGCCACATGAAAGAAAAGCTGTGACATGACATTTTGAGAGCCGCCCAGTGAAATTCAAATTCGGGAAAGGCAGTACTTTCGAGTTAGGTTAATGCAAGCGCATTGCAATGTTGTTTTCCGTCCATTTACAAACACTGAAGATACCACAAAGATAAAGGACTAAAAGTTCCACAAAAACAGCCAAGTGCAGATAGTCAGTTCATGGGGCTTTGTAGTCAACTCTCCTATTCTGTAATCTCACCTGCAATATGTATCTTTACAGCTAGTGCAAGCTGCACGGGAACAAAACTGGAAGCGTCAGAGGTAAGCATGCCACACTAGTAATAATAATACTCATACTACAGCATTATCATTAATGCTACAGTATACTATAATAATTTCAAAATTGTTATAATAATGAATAAAACCAAAAATATTTATAATAATTATTCTGTTTGTTTTATATAACAAAAATACTCTATATATTATTGTACCATCTTTATACTTTCATTAGCTGCCAACCTGCCGCCCCACAAGGGCTCGGTGATCAGTAACAGGCGCCTGACACAAAATCAAAGAGAAAGTGTCAAGTGAAAGCAGAAAAGACAGGTGAAAGAGGCACACAAAAGTACAATGAAAATGGTAGCCTCAAACTTTGCATAATTAGTGGAAGTTGTCTCTTTCTCAACTTGACTGGCTTCCCAAAGAAGCAAACAAGGCAAAAAAGACTTTAAAGTGCTGCCACACAATTAATTTGCAGCTGATCGACCTATCTGACCAGCCAGTTTGGCTACGTTGCCGTTGCTGCGCTGCGTTGAGGAAACTCAACGCGGCGCAGCAAAGAGCGATTCACACGCTTGCATCGAGCCCGCCCAAGTGCAACTGCAACGAACGGCTTGCGACGTACGGGTTGCTACGGCAACAGCTACGTCGGCTCCAACAAAACCGATTTTGCCCCGTTTTGTTGGAGCTGTTGCAGCTGTTGCCACAGCAGCCTGTATGTTGCAAGTTGTTGCAGTCGCACCCGGTCAGACTCACGCGAGTGTGTGAACCAACCTTCAGTCTTTCCGTACGTGCAACAACCTTCCTGCTGCTCTCCGCGTGTGTAGAACAGGACAGCATGATTGTGCACTGCCATCGGCCTCCTCTGCTCTAAAGTTAAGGAATGCTGGGCGAGGTCAGTCTATTGGCCGTGGGTGACTTGGTTTGGTGACTCCTTCGCACGAGAGGATAAGAGATGCAAGACGGAACCAGGTGCTCTCGCAGCCATGCCTGGCTGCACCAGTCTGGAAACTGCGCTAGCCTTGACAATGTGGAAGCACAAAAAGGCAAATGTGAACTATAATAGCTTCCAGAATAACAAAACGAAAGGCCAGGTAGACGAGAGAAAACAATCGGGCATACAACAGCTTTGAAAAACAGCCTATGTGTTGCAAAATCGACATACATTAGAACCGACTGGCCACTAGCCCCTCCACTAATCTACCGTGTGCGACACAGTTAACGCTGGTTCAGAAAATTCTGTATGTTGCATTCGCGCAGCAACCAAAAGGACAGCAGCGACAGAGGCATCGGAACAATTATGCTTCACACGCTACGCAGCAACCGAAGCAAAAAGACACGAAGCTTGGTCACGTCACCTGCAATGGACCAATCACTGATGAAGAAGGATATGGGCGTGCCTCTTTTTGGCTCACAGTTGCTTCTCATAGCTGTTCCTTCGATTTGTTACGGTGTGGTGCAAGGCACAGGGTAATCCTGACGATTCTGACGTTGCTGTTGTTTCAGTCAGCATAAGTGCGACTGGCGCCAATGTATAAAGCAGACATTACAGCAGACTGACATAGTAGTTTGCCCCGCATTTATCGCAAATGTTTCAAAGTTCCGAATTTCTTCCACTGTAGCTGTACAAATTGACGCGAGGATCAACACGACAAAAGAAGTTACCCGCGGCATCCGTCCTCCGCTCAAGAGTGGCCTGGACTGCGGCATCCTGAAAAAGGAAAAATGCGGCTTTTAGAGACGCAAAATGACAAGATATCCGATACCTGCACGTTGAACGGGAAAGAAATGTAATCTGCATGGTCTTTAGAGTCAAAGAGAAATAAATACTTGAGGAGCATCCGATCCAAGAACGATGACCGTGGTACTACTAGAAGTGTAGCACTCGAAGTACAAATTAACTTGCATACTTTGTACTTCAGGTAACCTGTGCAACACTGTTAGTGTGAACACAACATCGGCAATTTTTTCATTTTTATTACAAAAAGATATATTGGTAGACACCCAATTTTACCTCTTACGGTAAAATACCGGGAGAGCGTGCCACCACATTTTTAATGAAAACTGTGTTAATCTAGACATGGGTGCTTATCCGGTCAAATCAGGCGGTTAACGTAGAATTTGCAGAATTTCCAAGTTTGGGAAATGTTAATAGTGGGCACTTAAACAAAGTGGGTGCTTCTGTGGTATTTCAGGGTGGGTTAGTGCACTAAGTGAGCACTTTCAACAACCATAGTAGACTCGATGACAGGCTTAGGGCCTAGAAGAAAACCAGAAAAAAAAGGCAATTGCTCGTTTGTGCCAACAGCGCCACGCAGTGTACACGTCGTGTAGATGTACTCGAAGGATACTGTAGATTGCATAATGCATACTTGAAAAAGTAAAGTACAAGTACTTGTTCACCACAATATGTTTTGGTGCCCACTTGTTCTCACCAGAGACATCTTGAACGAAACAGTATAGTCAATGCAATAAAAATTGATCGAATTACTTTTCAGAAAAAGCAAAACTGAGACTTTGTTTGAAGAGTAAAGACATCCGCCGACCAGACTAGTGGATCCGTCGCTCGTTTGAACTGTATGTCACACACTAAACTTCCGAATTTTATTTGGACACAACTATATTATGCTTCCATAGGAAAGTGAAAGCATACTTAGAGCAGAAATCATAATATCTTTCCTGTAAAGTGCTTTGAGTGAAAACAAAAGCAGCGCTCAAAGCATACTTGGAGCCCAAAATTCTTATATTCTTGCCCGTTTCACACTGGGACAGCCATTTATTCATTATTTGCCCCAGAAGCTGAGCCGCATTATTCAAACTTCCAGTTCCAGCAGAGTAAACCGTAAAAGCTCCAATGCAACATAACAGGGAGTTTTCATACTCTTTTGGTACCTCCGATAGCGACACTTGGTATTCCTTCGATGCCTTTGAGCGTGCTAATATCGTTATCGGAGGTATCAGAACGATCTACTACTAAAACTGCCTCTCCCACAATCCTCAAGCTCATTGAAGATCCACCATGCTAAAGTTTGGTGCCACAAATATATCCTTGAGACTGACAAGGCGAGCATGGCAGGCTGAAGCTCCAGTGGTCCTGGCTCCAGCTTCCTCCTTTTGACAATGCTTCGCCATCTCGTGCACTTCAGGCGTGCAAATGCAGCCAGAGCATGGAGGAAGGCATGGAGCTGGAAGCACGTGAAAGACGTGCCCTGCCGTCCTCGTTCTGTCAGTGACAATTGCACATTGTCCAACGTTTTCACGAAAACTGCAAGTCAAACAGACCTCTCATTCACATTGGAGACAATGAAAAGTAACTCTAGGTTAGAGCTGGAAATCAACGATGTTGACGTTTCAAATTCACGCATAATTAGAGCATTTTCCGGACGTTAGTAGGCGGACTATGCATGTTTAAAAGTCATAATTTCACCGAATGCGAACTATACAAAGAGTGTTCTCTGCTTTTTTTAGATTGTTCACTGAGATGACACGTCAAAGATTTTTGTGAGTAACAGAATTTCATTATTGAAAAACAAAATAAAAAAACTTATTTTTTTTAGCTAATACAGCGGGCATTTGACAAGGTGTGCCGTGTACAATAATTTTTATGTTTGGATTACTCACTAAGTGCAGACCATGCACAGCGTGAGGAGTATCTGAGCAAAAACATTATTTATATTTTACTCCGAATTCGCCCCTGCGACTATACATCGGGTGCGGGGGGAGATGGGCTAATTCTGTGTGTTGTACTGCATCATTCATAGTCTTGATGCAGATTGGCAAACTGAGTGCAACGTCAGAAGACTTTGTGTCACAGCCTCTTCGACAGAATTGTGCCTGAAATAAACTAATAGTAGTATATACTATTTTTGTTACAGATGCTTCGAATATGCAATTGGATTGTGAGACAGCTACCGTAAATATCAAAATCAGAAACTCAGGGTTGTCGTACTCACCTCATCATTTTCCGAGCTGAACATGCTTGAGAGACTGCCGGCACTGCACGTGCTCTGTGGTTTTGATGTCTTGGCCTGCATGTGAGAGAAACTCAACATTAGAGAGGATTTCTTCGTTGACTCAATTGCCAACACTGTACACTGATTTCCAGATAATAGACAAATTTGTTTTAGACATAAGTCTCCGCATGTTTTTTTCCACAGCATATTTTAATGACATCAATATACCGTAAAAGTTTTCTACAGTCCTCACAAACATTTAGCAATTTTTCAATTAAGTAAAATCACTATTTATGTTTTTTTTTTTTTTTTTTGCCATCCCCGAGTAAGTTGTTTAATTATGAACCCGTAACAGTGTTGCCTGCCGCATTGAAGATTGTTACATTTACAGGGTGTTATCAATACCAGGGCTCACTCTAAAATGGGGTGGAAAAATCGGCACTTCCACATAGTAATTTCAAAATTTTGGTGGTTACGAAGTAAAAAAGTTTCACCATAGGCGTGTCGCCTATGGTGAAATTTTTTTACTTCGTAAATGAAGACACACACCATTGCCATTATCTACGACGGGTGCTGATGCAGATGACCTACAGTTAACTGAGGCTTGTCCATGTGGCGTCAATTCCCGACAAGCGCAGCGAGCAGACGACCGCATTTTCTGCTTACGACTGAGCGCGTTGCTTGCCTTGGCCTCCATCGTCAACCATGTCATGGGTCCTGGTCTCGATTTGAACAGAAAGGAGCTAGTACAGCTTGAAATTGCCCAAGATAAAATCTACCATTAAAAATGCTCAAAACTTTACTTCAATAACTGGAGACCTACAAACCTTGACATTGTTTTAGAACACACAAAATAACAGAAATCTGGTGCATGAAAGTTAACTTTTTTCGTAAAAATGTTTTTGTAATGCTGCTTGTGAGTAACATTGAACATTTGCTGCACTGCTTCCCGACGCTGAAAGCAGTTACGAACTGGGAGAAGGCACGGGTGCATTTCAAATTTTTCCCAGTAGAGAAAGGTGCAACTGGATATTAAATATTTGTAGCTGTTTTACTTCTCACAGTCTTGAGGACAGTGGTGCAGCCATCGTACCTCGCATTCACTGTCGGCCTTGGTTTTAAAGGTCGAGGGATCTATTTTGAAGAGGCATTTCGATCCTCCGCTGCCAAGGGCAAATATTCATTTTAGTTACAGCTTACTGTCGTCCGAAAAATGGCATCTTTTGAAAGTGCCCTGTAAAGGACAAAAGAAGGATGACATCTTTTTTTCTATGATGACAAGCTGAAACTGTACAAAGTTAAAGACAACACTACGAAGGGAGAGGAAGTACATATCTTACTCAACAATGGCAAAAAAGGCACAAATAATAATGAAGCTTCATTGAAAATTGCAAATGCCTGTGAAGAATATAGCGATTGTCCAAGTTAAAGTCGTTAACAAATGAGCCATGTAGAATAACGAAGGTCAGTGCTTTGATTCCTGCCAAAGGGCAGTGTTTTGTAAAGACAACTGGCACTGATATTCTATTTTCATTACAACTTTTCATGGTGCTCTAGGCATGAACCCAGCCCTAAAACACTATCAGTGTTAAACAACAGAGGCCTTGCTTTTCTACTGCCCTTCTATCATAATCAGGATTCCCTACTTCAGCCTAGACCGAGAAAAATAATTCTTAACTCGTTTTCCAAAACCATTTTTTTTTTAGATTAACACGTGAGATGAGGCCTGGGGGTGTGTGACATTTCGATCTACGAGGGCCCCACATGGACCAACCCACATATGTGTCCAGATGAGTGCCACTTTCGTAAAAAAAACACAGCTCATAAAAAGCACAACAATGGAGCCAGCAGAAGCCCGTCGCCCCCTTCCCCAGCCGGAACGTGCTGAGCCTACCTGGAGGCCCCTGCTGAGGACATCCGCCGTGGTGGGGCTCGTGCACGGGCTGTGGGGCAGGCCCATGTCGTCGTCGTCAGAATCCCGCCTTGCCTGGACACGCGTGAACAGCTCGTCCTGCAGAACCAGTCACCCCCGCTGTTAGGCATCCAGGAGCCAAGGTTCCCTGGCTCAAAGGCACTGCCAGGTTGGTTCGACACGTTCGGTCCATTTAAGGCCGCGTCACGCGTGCAGTCTAACGCCTAATCAGTGCTGTAATTTGCACCGAGTTTGGCGCTTATTTAGGGCAGCACTTCCTCCTCTCACCACTGGGGTTTCCTCCTCACCGTTGACAAAACTGCAAGGTAGCCTGTCGCAGCGAGTTTCGTGGCTGGCAACAGAAGCTCTCTTGGCACCATGTCTGATTCCGACCGCTCTCATGGTGCAAAACCTTCGTTTTAAAGGAACCTAGAAATGATTTTTCTACTTGCACTAAGTCCTACTTAGAATCCCTCCCCAACTTAAATAGCGGAATAAACTTGCCTTAGTTTTTCTTTCTAGGCAATGGCAGTCGGCAAAAAAATTTAACAAACATGAGCATCCTTCATCCCCTCAACTCAGAGCCAGAACAAGCGGCCATGTGGCTTGGTGCCAATCCTATGCCGCCAGTGTTAATCACACCCACGCACTGGGGGCGACAAAGTAGGGAACGCGTCATGAGCTCCAGGCCCTGTTCGAGTGTGATTATTCTGATCACCGCAGTGGTTGGACACGAGCCAGTACTGGAGTGTCCGCCGAGGCATCGATTGTTACGAGCCGAAGTTGAGTGCTCACACAGTTCTCGTGTCCAATCTATGAGTCGCGCTCGACCGTCGTCAGGTGGGTGGTCTGATTCCACAATTACGTCATCAAGCTTTGCGAAGGCAAGACTGAAAGAAATAGTCCCTTTTTATCCTCGCAATTCCACCGCGACAAAGAAGCTTCTGAATCGGTGGCGGTCTGTGCGAGTATACATGGGCCAGACTAGGACCAGCACAACTCTGCAAAGTCACGAACATTCCAACCCGATATTGTATCATAACCCCTTTAGACAAGATTTACGGCATTGAGACAAGCTCGGTGCTTCAAGGATGTCCTTCGTGCGTGCCACTCCACATGTAGATCTCCAACAGAGTCATAAGTCGCGGGGACCATAAGTATATATTGTGACACATCTTCGCAACGCTTCCGGTACAAATCATGAAACGGCATCGCTGACACCACTCACCTCTGCTGTACTAGCAAGTGCTGCATCATCACTGAAGTCAGCCCTGTTTGCAGCGCTCAATTAGCATGGGATTAGCACAGTGCTGTACGTGTGAACAAGTCATTACGTTGAAAGCTGCCCTTCAACATCACTTTGCCGAAAGGGCAACGAGCTGGCAAATGTGCAAAGCCACACAGCAAGCAAGTTCACCAAAACGCATCCCTCTGCATACGAGAAAGGAGGCACAAAAATGTGAGGGGAATTGATCACGCGTGCAACTGAGCTTCAATCCGGTGGATGGCACCCTCTTCGGTGAAAAGGGAAACAAACGGAGGTTGTGAATCCTCTATATATTGTAGTGCCTCTGAACATATCGGGTGCTACTCAACCAGCACAGAGAAAAAATATCAGTGACAGTTACACTGAATAAATTTGCAGCTTATATAATTCGATGACGCTCAACAAATATGGGCAGCTGTTCCCACTGGGTGGCGCAAGCTGCCACCCAGTAGAGGGGCTGTAGAAAATGCTATACTTTACGGGATGGCAAGAAGCCGTCCAAGAGAAAGGGACGGCAACCAACACACCTTAAAGACGAGCTTGTGCGACGTCCTGTTGACCGAGAGGCTGGAGCCCTGGTGCAAGCCGTCCGAATCTGCCATCGCCATCGAGGTGTCCGGGCTGAACACGCTGTCGTGCGACACACTCAGCCCAATAGAGTACGGCACCACGGGTCCCTTGAGCCTGTACCAAACGTCACCACTGTCAAGCACACTACTTGGATAGAGCACGCTATTCTACGGCATGGGCCACACCGGTCAAACCCACTTTAAATAAATCTCAAAAATCGGTTTCGCACACTCCGACGTCGTTTTTAGCACGAAGGTGCAGCTGGTTCATGCATTTGTTTCTTTGAAAAGATCAAAAAGCAATCTTTTCCCAAATCAAAAGTTACAACCGAGAAACAATATTTTTCTTTGGCTCAGTATGCAGATGAGCGTGAAAAAGTGCTCCTGCAGGCCCATGCCCCGCCAGAGCGTTTTATTGGGTAAAGCAGGGAACGAGAGAAAAACCTAAATTGTTTTTTCGCCTCTTTGTTCTTCCACTCACATCAAACATCCCAAACACCCAAAATAACATTTGTTTTCTTTCACACTGACTGAAACCAGGGGGTCTTGTGCCCAGAACTAAGCGAACGAGGAACCCCAATTGTAGGTCTGGGGTGCTGTGCTCCATCCCCGACTACCTTGAGTCGTTTGGACTGGGAGCCCCCTCTTAGGCAGAGCCCTACCTGCAAGCCGTGCCACAGCACGACCGCTCGATTAAGGCCATCGATAAACGCATTTCCCACCTCACCTCACCCAGTCCGGTAAATGTGACACATTCGTTGGGAGAGACACATTCTCATAGTTGTGCAAACGTTAAATTTTGGACTGCGAATCGAATACGAAGATTAAAAACTCATTGCAAGCTCGGTACAAATATTCAGAATTTACCGCAAATAAGATAAAGCATTAAAGATTGACTAGAAATTGCATTCAATATTTTTTTTAATAGGATCATCTTACATTTAATGTCTTTTGACAAAGATAACTAAGAAGACGGTTTTACAGCGCAAGAAACATTTTACAAACTAGCATAAAACAAGAAGGCCCCAATAACATGCATAGGGTAAAACATAATGCAACGAGTCAAACTAATGACTACCTTATCAATTTAATTATAGATATAACACTTTTTTTTCTTTTAATTTCCGGCACTTTTATTTTTAAATTATATAGGTGCCAAAGTACCATAGGAACCATATAATTTCGACCTACATTAGTGAGCAAAACTTCCGAGGCCATCGAGGCTAGCGAGACGCTCTGCCAGGTAAGCCGCTTCTCCACGCACGCCGGTGCAAAGCAGCGAAGCCCGAGGTGCGCGGGCGCGTCTCGCTGGTGCGAAGCGGTGAAGCTCGCCGCGAGAAATCCGCAAATCCGTAAGACAATATTCGTCAGTTTCGAACATTCCGAGAAGCTACAAAACTCCTCTAACAGTAAAAGTGTGCTGAGGACCAAATGCAGTAGCAGACACTATTCCCTAAATTAGGCTGGAACGCACGCGCGAAACACCAACCGAAAATCGCACACGATTCAGAACATGAGCGAAAATCGTGCCAGGAGATTTTTCCAAAAAAACAAGGATATTTACTGTAATTCAGTCGCAAATAAGGTTTCGTTAAAAGCGTATATGAGATTTATATGCGACAAATATTTCCGCAAGATTCATTAAAAGAAAAGAAAAAAAAAAGGGGGGGGGGCGGATGTGTCGAACTATTTTAAAACTCGCATTTAGAATTTCGTGCGATTTTCAGTTAGTTTTTCGCGCATGAGATCCAGCCTTCATTTCAAGTTAGCAACCTTCGCGAACCTCGACTTATTTTAAGCCTTGCAAAGTGTACGCACACCTACTCTTGTTCTCTGCTTCCAACACGCACGCAGTGCTCGTAGCTTTGAGCAAACGCACCCATTTTAAGCAGAGTTCCGTGTTTTCGGATTTATTTTCCTTCATATTCAGAGGTGTTTCCTTGAAGTTTTATCTTTCCCCGTAGATTCGGTGTTTTTCGGTGTCCTACGACAATCGGCGTTTATCGGGGTTCGTGTTGAGTGTAACTGGACACGGCGCGGCATTCCCCAACCTCCGGGGAAAACGTTCCTGTACCGATAACAGAATGAAACGGAAAAATGGGTTCCCGAAGAAAGAAACAATCTCGTGGTTAGTTCAGTGCGGGTTTTGTAACGTTTGTTCCATGTAACGACAAAACGAAGCCGTAGTTTAAGGTTTGTTTCCATGAAACTTTGGGTTTTCTTATTCAAGGTCAGCTCCATTTGGTTTCTTTCATTTTTTTTTTCTCAAGTTTTCCCCGATTTTGTAACAGCTGGCTATGGGGTGAATTTTTAGGGTTTATCGGTATATGCCGGAAAGGCAGAACCGTATTTATAGGCAGTGTCTAGAGCAAAAAAAATTGCAAAAAATGTCCCGATACAAAAAAAAAAGTTTCGTTAATATTGTTAGTTACAACAAGCAGATATCTGCTAAGCGACATTCATCTGGTTTTCATCAGCTTTGTTATCCTGCGTTGTTCCGAATTTCCGCTGAGTGCCCCGACATTACAATTTACCGATTTTCCCTATAAAGCGTGGCGTGAGTGGACGTGCCTCCAGATAACGTGCGCCCTCTGTGGAACAAAGGACGAATCCAAGAGCTCCGGTCCCTTATGAAAGACTGGTTGTTGTGACGACTGACCAAGCTTCATATATGAAAGTCCAAAATCTCAAATGTATGTCTGCTTACCTAAAGCATGTTACTTCCGTTGCTCAGCTAATTGCTAGTTGTTGTACATGATCAGGGGAAAGCTATAAGACAAAAACAACGAGAAGAAAGATACACGACATGACAGGCTCTGTCAGTCAGCGCCTGCCCTGTCGTGTATGTTTCTTCTCCTTGCAAGCGCCATCTAGCAGCGCTACGAGAACTACGTCCGCCATCTTGGTTGCGGCGAGAAAACGAAACCAGTGACCCGTCCGGCAAGACCCGAGTAAATGAGCGCTTCGTGCCAGAGATGCGATGCCAATGCGTTGCTGCGTTCCGCTGCGGGTGCAGCGATAAATGCTCACACAAATTCGCGGGACGCACCCTATGCAAAATTGGTGTATGTCTGACATAAAAGTAGTGCTCTCAAAATCGGTGAAGCAAAAATGGGTGCCTTTATCCCAGGACTCCAATGTTGCGTAGGATTTGGGTGCAAAACGAGCACTCGGGTTTTTGCCCGTCGTCTCCGTAGAAAAGGAGAGGCCGTTCTCCGATTTCAAGCAAGGTCCCAAGCAGACGGACACTTAACATTTGCCCGACCATTTCCTTCAACACAACAGAATAGAACGTGCTTTTGGCGATCAAAAGCAGATTAAATTTTTAAGCGCTAATAAATGCACTAAACGCGTATTCAGAGAAGCGTACATTGTCCCGCAAAGTGTCACAATTGTTTTGCCATATATCTCGATGTTGTCTCGATTTCAGTGCTATTTCTGTTCCGGTGTTCCCAGGGATCAACGGCTCTATAGCAGCTGAGGAAGACCAAGAAATTTTTTTTTTTTTATACCAGTCGTAAAGATTACGATAGAGTGAAGTGTCTCAAGCCAGATTCAAATGACACGATTCTACTTGCGATTTCGCAAGTGCGCCGGTGAGCACCGCAGCTTCCATCACGCTTTTTCTGTCGGTCGCGACTGCGAAATCGCAAGTAAAAGCACACCATGTGAATCGGGCATTACGCGGTAATACACGTGTACAAGTACACCATACCTAAGTACAAACCGTATTCCAAAACGCGAGTACATGTCCAAACCTGACAAAGCTAGTTTGAGGATGTGCCTTCTAAAGAGCGGACCAGAAATTCCCCAACAATTCCAGGTTTCCCAGGCGTGGTAGGAACGCAGCAGAAAGGCAGAAGCGTATATATCCGCACCGATGCCCGCATCGTTGGCTACATTTCTTTCGCGGCGGGGGAACACGGGCTCAACGCTCGCACCGCATACAAAACAGGATTACGCCGATCGCTCGCCACCGGAAACCGCATTCCAATAACACGGGGAAGCAGAACACCGACGAGTCAACATCCAAACTGGAGCCACTAATAGGCTGCAGTGCGCTTCCGAGTAACAACACGTTAGCCGTCTCGCTGCTCAAAATCACTGTTGCGAGTTATCCGAACTTCGATCCGAAATCGCAGGAAACGATGTTCCGTCCTCAAGAACTGTTAAAATAGGAAAGGAAAACAGTGCAAAAAATGGCGCAGGACAGGGAGAAGTCGACACGACGAGCGCTGCCCGTAGTGACGAAGGGAGACCCCCCAACTCGCCCAAGTTACCATTCCTATAAAGATGTTCAAATAGTCCGCGAGAGAAGAAAACCACATCGCCTGAGCGATCCTGCACATTAAATCTAAAAGCCCAGGAATCATCTTCCACGTCAGCCGTGCCCGCTCTGCATTAAAAAACAAAATGGCGGCGGCCACAGGAAAACGGCACTTCTGTTAGCGGCGGACACAGGAGTGTCCATACTCTAAGAGTTGATTATTTAGTGACTCTAGGTGTGCCGATAAAGCAGCTTACTTAGCAGCTCTAATCAAAACCGTGCAGCCAAAGCATCATCTATCGCCCACTTTGTTTGCAATCGCTGTTCACATCCTCATCCAGCGTCGATACCATTACAACAGCGTACAGCAGATACCATTTAGAAGACAAGGCTTTCGTCTTTAGCCCCTCCTCCCCCCCCCCCCCCCCCCTAAACGCCATCACGAGTGGATCCACGCAGCGCCACCAGGTGTGTGTCAGCATCATCAGGGATCCACCAACGGTGAAGTCACGCGCAGGCATTTTCTTCTCATTGCTAGAGGCACCTCAACTAAAGATGTCGCGAACCTAAAGAGATTCGAGTTCGACGAGGTTCGACTTTAGCGAACGTGTAGCGCCAAGTTCCACGAAATTTTCGCTCAAGTTCAACTGTGATGCGCATGCCCGTAAATTGAAAACGAGCTAGCGCCACCTGGTCCAGAAGAGGGGGGGGGGGGCAGTGATCGGGTATACGGTTTCATATTTAATACACTAAATAACTAATTAAAAATTTATTATATATTTTGTCACCATTGCCAAACATCTCATACAGTTAAAATTGGAATTTGTTTCCCGAAATTTCAAAGTTAC